GGAGTGACAAAAGCAGAGATGGCCCTGGAGCGTTCAGTCAGTCTTATCTGGTAGTAGCCCTGGAGGAGATCCAATTTGGTCACGTACCTTGCCTGTCCAAGATCGTCGATCACATCGTCGATGCGTGGCAAGGGATAACCATCGGGTTCAGTGACGGCATTTACCTTGCGGTAATCCACACACAGCCGCATTGACCCATTCGGCTTTGGAACTAGAACAACAGGGGATGCCCATGGACTGATGCTGGGTTCGACGAGGCCTAGCTCTTGAAGACGCTGTACCTCGGCTCGCACACACTCCCGCTTGAAGGCATTAAGACGGTAGGGACGCTGTCGGATTGGCTTGGCTCCCCTGGTCTCAACGTCATGCTCCAGCACTGAACAAGAGAGTGGGTAATCACCAACTATAATAAGATACTCCTGTAATAGAGACTTTATATTATTGGCTTGGTCACTAGAGAGATGACACAACTTAGCACTGGGGTCCTCCAAGATAGTAGAGTTTTCAACTTTTACACTAGACCCATTCATTATTTCAGAAAAACACTGATCTTTATCATCCTTACACTCTGGCACAATGATACAATTTGGCAAGGATTGATCAACACAAGCAACTGCTTTTCCCAGGGTTTCGTTACGAACGTGATATGACTTTAAAAGATTGACATGGATAAGGCGTTTTTTCTTACGCCGTTCAGGGGTGCTAATCACATAATTCACGGACCCCTGTTTTTCTAGTACTTCATATGGACCACTGTATTTGGATTTAAAAGGGTGATCATGTAAGGGCAGGAAGGCCAACACCTGCTCCCCAACTTGGAATTCTCTAGGTTTTGCCTGATGGGCCTTATCAAAATGCAGTTTCATTTTCACCTGAGCACACCTTAAGTTGGACTGGGCAAGTTCTACAGCCAGACGCAACTTCTCCTTGAATTGGACCACATATGAAGCTAAGGGCGTCGCGCTCTGATCACTCAACCAACACTCTTTTAACACCTTAAGAGGCCCTCGCGCCTCATGTCCATAGACGAGCTGGAAGGGCGAGAATCCTAGCGACTCTTGTTTACTGTCCCGAACAGCAAACAAAAGCAGGTCAACTCCCTCGTCCCAATCCTTCCCAGTCTCCAGACAGAAGGTGCGCAACATGAGTTTTAGTGTCTGGTGAAATCTCTCTACCACCCCCTGTGACTGAGGGTGATAGGCCGAAGACCTCAACTGCCGGACTCCCAGGGTTTGCATTACCTGATTAAACAACCGGGAAGTAAAATTGGAACCCTGATCTGACTGCACCACTGTAGGAAGGCCTACTTGAGTGAAGAAGTGGGTTAAGGCTTTGATAACATTCTTCGCTGTGATGCGGCGCAAGGGAATGGCTTCAGGATAACGGGTTGCACAATCAATAATGGTTAGCAAGAACTGATGACCACGAAGGGTCTTAGGTAAGGGACCGACACAATCTATGACCACCTTACTAAAGGGCTCTTCAATGACTGGGATAGGCTGCAGAGGGAATGGTTTAACACTGGGGTTCGGTTTCCCTGCTACCTGACAATCATGGCAAGTGCGACAGTAAGAGCTGACGTCTTTCTTCATCCTAGGCCAAAAGAACTGGGATAAAATTTTTGCATAAGTCTTCCTAACTCCTAAATGACCACCCACCCCATCATGAGCGATACTAAGTATGTCCTGCCGCAAAGGTTTGGGAATAACAACTTGATGATGAACTAACCAAGGGTGATTGGCAGGAGAATTGGAGGGACGGAACTTCCGCATTAATACACCAGACCTAGTGTAGTAGCAATTTGATTCTTGCTCAGCTTCTGTCTCAGTGACTGACCTATTGAGAAAACCTACCAGCTCAGGATCCCCTGCTTGTAGCTCAATAAACTTACTCCTAGTGATGGGAGAGGAACCAAAACTAGTGACATCTGGGTTCCTATCTCCATCAGAACTACTCTGGAGGTTACCTGGTGGTGGGGAATCCTCAAAGAATTCACTGAGACCAAGATCAGTATGGTCCGGCTGAACAAGATTATCCTCGGACTTCTCACAGTCCTGGAGGGAAACTTCATCAACTTCACTAGTCTCTTCTACCTCTGTACTGCGGCTCATGCTACGGGTCACAGCACACGCAGGGAACAACCCTGGAAAGTCTACTTCTAACTGCACAGTATTATTCTCGGCAGTGGGACAAGATGAGATAACAACATTAGGGAACATCATGTCGCCAACGAGGTCATTTCCTATCAATAGAGAGACCCCTTCTACAGGTAAGCTATCTACTACTCCTAACGTGACATAACCTGACTTTATGGATGACCGCAGGTACACTTGACAAAGGGGAATACGCGACCCACCGGTCAAACCGTTCACCAGCACCCAGCTACCAGTATAGCATGAATCCAGGAATGGAGCAGCTTCTTTAGTAACAAGAGATAAGGCTGAGCCTGTGTCTCTCAAGAGTTTAACAGAAATGGGTTGACTGAATTGATCCAAAGCTAAGGAACCAGGAGAACAAAATGGTTCAAAGGTTGATATCATAGAAGAGGGGGAAGCATTCAGGGCAACAGTCTGACTGAGGGCAGTGACACAGGGCTCCAATAATTTCTCCGATTGCTCGGCCACCCTGACCAAAAGAGTGGGGGATCCATGGTGAGAGGAATTTCTTTTCTTTAACTTGAGACAGTCGCTGATGACATGTCCTGGCTTCTTACAGTACCTACAACTAGAGTTTCTCTCGCCAGTAGGAGTGGATCCACCTGTCCCATGGACCATGGGCTCACCCGGGGTAGATGATGCAGAACCTGAGGGTCGGGTCGGTATGACAGGAGGCAGGGACCCCGATGTAGATGTTGGTGTGGGCCGCTTGAAGGAAGTGAAGGACTGGGACATGGGAGCATAAGACCTGGAATTTACATTTCTATTAGTTAAGGAATAATGGTCAGCCACTGGACCAGCATCAGCCAGGGTACAGATACCTCTCTGATCCAAGTGTGCTCGAATGTCGCCTGGGATACACTTTCTAACCTCCTCTAGCAGGATTAGTTCAACAAGCTTGTCATGTTCTACATGGGCAGACTCACTTTCAATCCACCTCCGACAAAGAACCTGTTTCTGCCTGAAGAACTCCACAAATGTTTGTTTGTCAGTCTTCCGGCAGTTACGGAACTGTTGCCGGTAGGCTTCAGGAACAAGTTTATACGCGCTCAAAACCGCGGACTTAACAAGGGCATAGTCTCGACATTGATCCTCAGAGAGGGCAGAAAACACATCTAATGCTTTACCAGTGAAAGATCTATAAATAAGTTGAGACCATTGAGAAACAGGCCACTTGTTAAGTCGGGCAATTTTCTCAAAAAGAGAGAAGAATTTGTCTGGTTCTTCCTCATTAAATTTAGGAACACTGTTGAGACATTTGTCTACACTGAATGTTGAAGTATTACTACCTTGAGCCAAACCTCGTTGTTTGAGAGTTTCCAGCTCCACCTCGAGTCTTTTGAGTTCAACTTGTAAGGCCAAATTACTTGGTGTAACAATTTCCTCTGAATTTCCCGACGGTTGGGCTATGATTTCATTGTCAATAAGGTAGTTGAGGACAGCCTCTTCTAAACTAGACTTATTCATGGAAGAGCGGCCTTCTACTTCATAATAAGCAGCGAGGGATTGCCACTCTGCCTTAGTAAGCCCCTTCAGTACTTCGGCTGAAGGTGAAGCCAAAAAGCTTTCCAGGTCAAACATGTTGAATTCAAAATCGAGTAGCGAAAAAAAGTAACCGTGGCAGCTAAGCTAACTAGCTAGCTAATTAATAATGTCAAAATGCAATAAACTGTGAAACACAGCAAGGGATTAACCAAACACCTGGTACACAAGATAAGGGTTAACTCACCAGTAGCTTAAGCAATAACAGGAGCAATATAAATGAACACTGTGAACACAGCAACTTGCATCCAAAAATACTTAGCGATGAAACAACACCTGGCGAGTAACAACACTTGATATGACGCAACAATGGCGGTTAGCTCCAGGACACAGGCCCCCACTTGTCGCGATCCCACTACTCTTTATACTTGGGGAGTGAATCCTACCCCAAGTTATTAACAAATAAAGGTACAAACAGGGAACACGGCAATAATTATCTCCACCAAATACCTACTCAACTAAATGTACTTGAAAAAGTAAGAACAGTTGAAATAAGTGAATTACAAAATGGAAGATAATTAATTAATTCAATTTATGTTTTAAAGGGAGTAATGATTAGCAAACATGAATTTAAGTGAATAAGTAATTGTATAATAAAATAAGAGTGATGCCGGAAGGGCGAAACTATACTGTAAGGAGTTAGACCAAACAAATATTACTTAACATTACTATATTACACAAGACATACGAAATATATATATACAACAATCAATACAAAATGATTATCCCTACCAAACAGGAGATACCTTACCACCAGGATCCCTTCCTAGGCCTAACTAAACGTATCACTAATACCTGATACCCCTAGGGCATTGCAGAAGACTTGATAAAGGCACTAGACAAAGGTCAAGGCTAGAGAACGAATAGACACGTCTAACGTATGCCACGGATTTTTCGCTACTGGGGAGCGTGGCGTGGGTACGCCGTGGAGGAGCGTCTCATATCACGTGATCTAGACATTTGCTGAATATTTTATATAATTAATTAATATTACTCTTGAGTTGACTTAACAGAGTAAGACAATGATGCATATAAATTACATACATAAATATACAATTAACCTAAGTAGCTAAGAACAATAATAATATAATAAGTACAATTAACAAATTAATAGTAGCTTGCGTGAAATGGAAGCGTGAACAGATGCAGCGAGTTCCCGAGCGCTCAGGCACGTGACAATATGCTAAACCAATTGTAATTGTGCATGACACTTTCACTGAATAAATATACTGTAAGACTCAATTGGACAGTGTGTCATGATTTGTGTTTAATAAGTGTCCTCACCCTCTGTGTACATGACAGGTGTTGGATGGGGGATGGTGCTTTTATTGCTCCTCGTGACCATCTACTACAACTTGCTCTTGTCTTGGGCACTCTTCTACATTGGTGCGTCCTTCTTTAGTCCGCTTCCCTGGTCCGACTGTCAAAATGATTTCAACACTGATGGTGAGTTTGCCAGTGTGCTGTTAAATGTTTGTTAATATCCACTTAATTATGTTATGTTTTGTCTGTGTGATATGTTTCTTTATTTCTTAGTTATTTCTTAGCCCCTCCTTAGCCCCACTCCTCCTTAGTCCCCCCCCAAGTTTCTTTATTATTTCTATTTTTCTCACTTTCAACTGTATTTCCCGGTAGCCTTTCCTCCCCAAACGCTTGGTTTGTAATTTGCACTGTCTTGCATTTTACAATATTGAATTTGATCATCCATTCCTCTAACCATTCCAGAGGCTGATAGAGGTCTTCCTGTAAAGCTTCACAGTCCTATATGTTATTGATCTCCCTAAATAGCTGAGCTGCATCTGCAAACATTTATATGTTAGAATGAATAACTTCTGTCTTATCATTATGAAACAAACAACATACTGTTATATACATTAGTAGATATACAGTTCATAAATAATAAAGATAAATTATTGATGGTAGTAAGACAACCAAGTTCCTCACCCACAGATTATCTCCATAGTAACCCAGAGGAGAAGTCATATGTCGCAGCCAAGGAATATTTCATGTAAGTGAATTTACAGTTATCGTTATCCAGAAATGTACATATAGGTTTTATGCTAGATGTAATATTGTACCATGATCTCCCTCCCCAATTTATTAATACATTAGATATAAGAATTAGTCTTGTCTGTAAAGTCACCATCATGGTAGGTCATGACCCTTTTTAAGACAGTGGTTGATTCTTCAGATATATAATGTATCTCTCAAACCAAACCAAGCACAGAAACAGGTAAACCTCGAGATACTATATCCCGAGATGTGATATTCCGCTTTGACGATGGTTATAAATTAAAACCATCTCGCTATATACGATCAAAACAACTCGCTTTAACGAAATCCATCGAATAGCCATTGGCAAGTGCAGCGTACTTAATATTGGAAGAACAAATACTGTCAATGTATACAGCCTTAACAACATCAACCTAGAGAAGTCGACTTGTGAAAGGGACCTAGGGGTACTTGTAAGCCCGGACCTACGGCCTAGAAAACAGTGCGTTAATGTTCGAAATAAGGCAGACAGAGTATTGGGTTTTATATCTAGGAGTGTAAGTAATAAGAGTTGCAGAGGTCTTATTGCAACTATATCTTGCGCTAGTCAGGCCGCACCTCGATTATGCCGTTCAGTTCTGGTGCCCTTATTATAGAATGGATAGCAATTCGGTGCAGCGAAGAATAACGAAAATGATTCCGGGACTTAGAAACCTTCCATATCAGGATAGGCTAAAGAAACTAAACTTGCATTCCCTAGAAAGACGAAGAGTGCGGGGAGATATGATAGAAGTATTTAAGTGGGTGAAAGGAATCAATAAAGGTGATATAGATAAAGTTCTTATAATATCCGAGCAGGATAGGACTCGGAGCAACGGATTTAAGTTGGATAAGTTTAGGTTTAGGAGGGAGATAGGAAGGAACTGGTTCACAAATAGGGTGGTGGACGAGTGGAACAAGCTTAGCAACTTTGTAGTAAGTGCTGGAACGCTGGAAAGTTTTAAAAGGAGGCTAGATAGATTCATGGATGATAGAGAGTGGTAGTAACTCTCGACAGGAGCTGCCATGCACAGACCAACCGGCCTATTGCAGACTCCTTATGTTCTTATATCCATTGGATGGGAAAAAAAATCGGTAGTGTAAACTATGGGTTGTTTATATTCAATTTAATCTCTGTCTTGCAAGGATTCCAGCAATGCAAGTTATATATTTCTACATCAAGTCAGTGACTTTTATAAGGAAACTAGATTAAGCCTTCTGCATAATGCATCTCTACCTTCACTCGTAAGCCTACCCACGCGCCGCCACATAGCCAACCTGCGCACTGTTGCCCTATGTTTGGTTCTTTGTCAATTGTAAACCACCATCTCATGGCTCCACGATTATCAGTCAGTATTGTTTATTATACTTATTATCAGTGGATTTCTTCTTTTATAGTAAGAGGACAGCACTAACATTGATATTGAGCTGTGTTATGGTGACTGTTAGGTGATATTTTCTGTGTTTTTGTGATTGTAAAGTTCGTCAACTCTGTTTTCAAGAACATGTGTTCTGAGCATGCTGGCCGATATCATTGTGCTTATGTTGATATCCCTGTTTTTTCTTACAGTTAAGTATACACTGCAGGTTAATACTGTACATTATAGTAATAGTGTTGCTCAGTTTTTGTGACTGTGAAGTGAGACATGTACAGGTACCTGTAAAGTTAGTGAAAATGGCTAGCAATAATGTTGCTGAGGCTCCGGCATCGGGGAAGGCCAAAACACCCAGGAAAACTGTGGCTCTGGAGGTGAAGCTTGATGTTGTGAAGCAGTATGAGATAGGTGAAGGAGCGTGCTCTATTGCTTGGCCTGGTCCAGTGTCAACCATCATCAAAGAGACACCAGAAGTGAATGCTGCGGCAGAGAACATCACCACAGTTTTCGCTTCTAGATTACTGAGGAAGCGTGAACCAATCATGGATAGGATGGGGAGGCTACTCCAAGATTGGATTCAAGACCAGACTCGAAACCGCTTGCTTCTCTCCACAGCGATCATCATGGCGAATGCCAGCAACATCTGAGTGACACTGATGGTAGAGAGCAGTGAAGGAGATGCCCCTTTCAAGGCAAGTCCTAGGTGGTTTCAGCGGTTCGAGAGGCATGCCAATTTTTACAACTTTTGTCTAACTAGTGAGGCAGCCAATGCTGACATCGTGAGTCCTAACTCCTTCCTGGCACTCCTGAAGGCTAAGGACTTTCCTGGCCAAGTAGGAGAAGACTGCATCAGGCTTCAAGGCGGCCAAGGACCACCTTACTTTGCTGCTTGGAGGCAATGCTGAGGGGGATCTTAAGTTGACTCCCATGCTGGTGTACCATTCCAAGAACCCTAGGGCTCTTTACAGGTTTATTAAGGAGCGCTTCTCAGTCATCTGGCGCTCCAACAAGAAGGTCTGGGTAACGACGGAGTTGTGTCAGAGTTGCATGGTTGGCTACCTCTTCAAGCACCTCAAGGAGTACGCCGAGAGTCAGAAAATCGCCAACAAGCTTCTCCTGATACCTACAATGGGTGAGTGCACTGACAACATCAGTGTGATGTTTCTGCCTCCCAACACCACTTCACTCATCCAGCCTGTGGATCAGGGTGTTATCGCATCCTTCAAGCATGCCGTACGCAACATCGACAAGTCGTAGAAGGAAGTCACACAAAGGTGCATGAATGCAGTGTGTAAGAAAGTGTGGCCCGACTGTTGCATGACTTTAGCGGCTTCACAGATGTTGTAACCGTACACCGCGACATCACCAGCAACTCCCAGGAAGCCGGGTTTCAGGAGGCCGAAGAAGAGAATGTGACTGAGGTCTTGGACAGCCACTCTGAGGAGCTCAGCACAGAGGACCTGCTGCTCCTGGAACAGCAGCAGAGAATGGAGGAGTCAACGGGCGAGGGGGAAAACCCTGCACCCATATCGCTGACTCTGAAGGTGTTGAGCACTGCCATGGACCAGGTGAACACTGCCATGGAGCTCCTTGCTGAGAATGACCCCAACATCAAAAGGAGTTTGTCTGTAAGGACAATGGTGGAGAAGGGCATTCTCTGCTACAAGAAACTGTACCTTAAGAAGAAGAAGGAGGAGGCACGTCAGACAACAATCACATCCTATTTCAAACCCCTGCCACAGTCAGAGCCACAACCCTCAACTTCTGCCACCTCTCCAGTCCCACCCAGGAACTTCACCCTCTTTAGAGCCAAGCTGAAGCTTACACCTCCAGCCCCTACTGCCTCCAGCCAGCCTCTCTGGACTCCCCAGAGGCTGTGTGGGAGTCAGAGTGACGTCTCCACTCCACCTACAAGAGTCCCCTTAGCCTCGAAAGGGACATGTGATGATGACCAGACTTGTCCATTATGATGCGGTGAATATTGCTTAATTGTTTTGTTCTGACAGTAGGAATTTTTTGTTGGATATACATGTGTGTTTGGGGACCGGCTGAGAACGTATTCCATTGAACCCCATGTTATAATGCTCCCTATCTACAATAATTCACCTAGCGATGGATTTTCAGGAACGTAATCCCATCGTATCTCGAGATTTACCTGTACGAAACATGGAAAAAAAAAGACATCTTAAAGCTGAAAGCTCGCGGGGTTAGGTAAAATAGACCCTGCAAGAAAGCAAAATTCGCAAGTTTTTCATGCTAATTCCCGAAGTGTGCAAAATACAGTACATATATATATATATAGTACAAATAGCTATATGCACATGTATAACAACATTATGTACGCATATCCCTTAAACTGCAGTACGAGGGTTTATACAATGCGGCCCTGGCCCCTCCACGGATTGCACTATGAGTTGAATGGGGTGCAAGGGAGGTCGTGTACTGACAACTGTATTGGCCGCGAGGGTCTCTATGGTCTTTACCGCTCCCCTCCCTGCCTTAGGGAGGGAGGGAGAGGGAAATGCATGGTGCTATTGTTACATGTAATGAAATTATAAAAGTTGTGTAAAATCATTTCAATACTCTAATGTGCCTTAGAAATAAAGAAAATATAATAATATGCTGAAAAGATACCCTATTATGCACTCCTCAACAGCTCATGTTTATCTTCCCTCCAGGCACTCACACACCAAGACCCCTCACTGGATAAGTGTTGTCTTATTAATTTCTGTGCGTTTATGTGTGTGCGTGCGTGTGTCAGGAACACATCTCAGCTTCACATACACACACCACCAACACACACCCACCAACACACACACACACACACACACACACACACACACACACACACACACACACACACATACACCCTCCAACACCACAACATACACCCTCCAACACCACCACCAACATTGTAATCAGAGACGTGACCGATCGCCCGAGTGGCTAACGTGCCGATCAGTGGTGAAGAGGATAAAAGTAAAAAAAGTATTATTATATATTCTCGTATGATCAGCCTCTTATGGTGTATGTTTTATCATTGATAATATAAAATATTGAATACTACCGTAGAAAAAATACAATATATAATCAGTGATTTGCATAAACTTTAAATGACAAGTCGAATAATAAGGTAAAAATAAGTATTGTACGTACTGTATATGAAGGGTAATGGTATTAATAAGATCAAATTATTACAGTAATATATCTTTACTAATAAATAACATATAAACAATATGTTGTGGAGTTACAGTGAGAATGACAGAGGCAGGGGTGGGGGGTCAGTGTCTCCCCCTAAGGTCTCCACCCCCCTCTCTATGTACAGAACTAAGTAAATAATTTATTTGAAATAATCTGCAACAAAATGTCATAATATCCTGACCACTTGGGTTAGTTAACAGACTTTTTCCTGTGAAAAAACATAATTTTGAGCAGCATATTACAGTACTCACTTTGTACTCAAATGTACTAAGCTAAAGGACTGAAAATTTTATCTCTTGTGCAAACTATGAGATGTTTAGATTCAAATTGATCGTTATCTTCCAAGAATTCCAGCAATGCAAGTTGTATTCTGCTAAGTCAAGCCTAAAACCACCTTCCTTATCACCCGCTGGCTGAGAGAGGGGAGGGGGAGGTGTGGTGTTGACAGCCAGGAGGGGAGATTACCGGGTAGTTGTCAGTGTAGGGAGGAGGGGTCAGGGACTTGGGAATAAATTATATAGGACAGGGAGTTTAAGTTTTTTGCTTATAAAATGTCACTCATCAGTTGTCGAAGTGCTAAAATAGCCAATTCGAGCCATCGTGTATCAATTAATTTTCAAATAGAAACTATAATGTAAATTTGTTATAAGACAGTGGTTTAGTAGTGCTGTTAATGTGTGTGCTGTGTAAGTGTCTTGGCATGTCACCTCACCTACTGCCTCGCCACCTGACTCATCACCTCACCCTTGACCTCGTTAGTGCAGCTTGGAGTTACATTGATTTATTACTGGGAGGACAGCAGACTATAAGCAAGGCGAAGGGAAACACGTTTGTCACCTTGTGGCCGCAAGCTCATTTTGACAGCTGACGCTCGCCCTGCTCACTGTCCCTCAGACTTTATTTTTATTTATTTTTTTCTTGGCAATCCATGAGTTTCCGAGGGATGCAAGCTTTAAAACTGCGAGCTTTAAGGGAATACTTACTTACAATTTTGGGCTCATTTGGACCTTTGTATTAATATTTATCCAACGTCAAATACGGTTGTCCTCGGGTGAGTGACTTGTGTTTTTTAACTCGCTTCTTTGTCATTGTTGTCAGGTTAAGTCAAGTTAGGTTTTTACATGGAGGATTAAACAGAAGAGTTTTGCATCCGGATATAAGCATCTGATGGCTTTGTGGGTTATCCTTAGTCAAATTGCCTTAATATTTATTATTGTTTGTATACACATGCACTGTCTAGGTACATTGGGAATTGTATTTCTGTATTGTCTACATACATGCTGAACTATATAGAGTACAGGTACATAATATACCTGCAATGTCTGTAAGACTCTATATACACGCTGAACCAATTGTAAACTGTTACGTTTTAAATGCAGGAAAGTGGTTTTCTTACCGTAGAACTCGGATACCTTCACACTGGTTGCTCACCCAAGAGATTATGGTGTATCACTACGTAGAATTTCGCTCTGCTTCCGGCATTCAATGCGTTGTGTACTTGATAAATGATGATTTAATGAATTCCACTAACTTCCAACATCCATCTAAGTTATTGGTTATACTTTGTCATAACCAATCATTCATTACCCTTGGTAATAATAATAATAGAGGGATCACAGATACGGGCAGATGATTGCACTTACGTTTATTTGGCACAATTCCGTACACTGGACTTATAATTTGCATGGATAGGTCAGTCACTCACATTCACGCCACAGTACCGTAAGTTATAAGGGAGAGTTTGTCAACCTGGAGAATTAATCGTTTTAGATCTATTAGGCCGGCCTGGAGTGCTCTTGTAGCAAACAGGTCCTCACCATTGATCACTTCCTTTACAGGATGTGTTAACTTGTCGCTGGACTTAACAAAAATCTCGGGGATTTGCACACACAGACCCGTAGCACTGGTAGGACTGTATGGCCCCTGTTCTTAAGTCTGCGGAGCAGGAGGTCTTCTCTAACTCAAGGTCTAAAGCCCACTGGCTAAATTGGTTTTTTGAGGCGTGAAGTGATGAACAGTACACCACTGTCTCACTGGCCTGCCCCCCCCTACATGTCCCAGTTATGGCTGGCCGGTTACCTTATCTCTACCGTAAACGAACATTTGGGATGGGTTGTGCGGGAGGCCCAACGCAACCCATGACATAAACTATTATTACGATTTTGCTGAATAAATATCTATCTACTTAAATTATTATTTTCCCTTTTGCCAACAGCCACGATGTGTTAGGGCAGCCAACAGGAGAGGAAGGCACCTATGAGTTTCATGGCTTGTTGGTATTATGCTTGGCCTTGGCCTGGGTACTAGTGGCACTGTGTCTAGGTGGAGGCATCAGGGGAACTGGCAAGATCCTCTACGTCACAGTCATCTTCCCCTACGTTGTTCTTGCCTGCCTCCTTGCTATCAGTTAGTACAGTACACTGAAACATCAGCATAATTTTTTTGTAATATACTCACCCGAGCTCATGGATTCCCAAAGAGTCCATTCTGGGGGCCTCTTTAGAGGAACTGTCCAAGTTACCATTCTGTATTCTGTTCTAATAAATGAGTAACTTATTTATTAGCCAAAATATATAAATTTGTGGACATGGTTCAAAGTGGTATAAGAGATATATGGTTGTAGAGCCAACTTAACAATAAGTTTTCAGAAATTCATGATAGACAACAGTTTGTGACACTCTTTCTGGTGTTCCTTATCATACTGATATAAACCTCACTTCTCTAGACTATGACAGAAGCAACGATGCAGGACGTGAGCGCTGGCTGGCGAGCTTCTCCAATTTTAATTCCTCAGAGCTCCTGCATCTTGATATATGGATTTCTGCTGCCTCACAGGTCATCTACTCCCTTGGTGTGGCATATGGTGGCATCACAACCCTTTCATCTTACAACTCTCTCCAGCAAAATTTTATTCGGTAAGTAAGTGGACGCGAATACTGTACTGTACAATACTGCGGAGGGTGATTCACCTGCTGGTAGCCCCAGAGATTCATTAATATAATTGTTATTTTGTTTTTTTCATCTGACAGTAAATAAGAGAGATTATACCTTACCAGGGAAACTCTAGTTGTGTATGGCTAATCTAGCCTAACCCAATCTAACTTAACCCAATCTAACATAACCTACATTAAATAGGTGCAGGGATTTTTTTAAAGAATATTTTACTAATGGGCCAGATCGAAAAAAGACATACAGTTCATACATATATTTTTTGTGGATCATTTGCAACAAAATTTGTGTAATATATCATCTCATAAAACCAAAAGAAACATTCTATTGAAGGTGTTTAAATCATGACCATTTTACACAATGGAGTAACTGCCACGCTGCTGGACGGTGATGGAGAACTTCTGGAAAAAATATTGTTTAGGTTTTAAATAAAATAAAATATTCTAGATGGGGAGATGTGGCTTGGCGGGGCATTTGAGGGTAATGTGCAATCTGTTTTGTAAATCTTAAAACATGGTAAAAGACTAAGAGTGAGTTAGTTTAGTTGTGTAAAATAGGTGTTTTTTAAATACTAGTGGGCCATTTGAAGGGCTAGTGGGCCAAATTATCCACTAGTATGCATGTTAAGAAGTCCCTGATCAAGTGTTATCTTGGGTAGCATTAGTGAACGCAGTTATCTCCAGGTTACCGGGATTATTACATCATGAATATTCATCTATGTACTGTACTGTATTTCATTTTACAGGGATGCTGTGTTGGTGTGCTTGCTTGATGTGGGTACATCCCTTTTGAGTGGCTTTGTGCTGTTCAGCTCAACTGTGGTGCTGACAGATAAGAAACTTGAAGATTCTCATGGAACGTCAGTACTTGTCTTCACTGCTCTCTCAGCGATGCTCTCTCGCATTAATAGTAGACCTTGGTCCATCCTCTTCTTCTTCATGGTCCTCACTCTTGGTCTTGACAGTCAGGTGAGTCAGGTCAAAATTCAGTTCAGTTGAGTTCAATTTCCTTCATTTAACCTCTTTGCCATTGGTTAGGTAGCTAGCAGTTTGAACATTTGGGTCAGTTCTCTGTTACACACTGTTAGCAAGTTCTGAGCTAGCACGGGCTCTTGAATGTACCTGAGCATGTGCCAGTGTTGGTCAAGTCTGGCCTTAAATGAGCTCACACTCTGTGTCGTCACAATATTCTTTGGCAGGTTCAGATTCAGCAAAATTATCATACAAATTTATTATGATTCAGTATTTGTCTAAAGAATACAGGTGAACTGTGTGTATATTCTGGTCTTTGCCATTCATATGGTTATACTGTACAGGTAGCCCTAGCTACATGAACATTCTCAGAACCAATAGTCGCTTATACGAATTTCCTAAATTGAAATCATTATTTCGAGATACAAAAACTTTCCGTACTTATATGAGTTTGGATCCCAACAAAAATTAAAATCACACACCCCGGGATGTCTAGGATCTGCTCCAGTCACACAGCCAGGACCTCGCCAATAAAAAACTCGTGCAGCTCCAGCAGCAGAGGCCTTACGGAGCTACCTGAGACCTGGTTCACTCTCAAAGTTGTCAGTGAGGGCCTTGACCTCATTCATAAGGACCTCAACTTTTTACATGCCAAGAACCCTTACATGGAAAGGAGTACTGTAGTGCAGTCGCCTCAGAGTCTACACTGAGATTCAACAACAGCTGAGGAGCAAGGCCAGAGAACCCATATTCTGGAACGAGGTGGTAATATCGACAATATTTACCTAGATTTTGCCAAGTCTTCGACAGTGTACCCCATAAAAGGCTGAAAATCAAACTGGAAGAGTACGGAATTCGGGGAAATGTCCTAGTGTGGATAGAAGACTTTCTACGTGACCGCAAGCAGTGTGTGGTGATTAATGGTGCGAAATGGCTGCTGAGATTCAATGTCACGAAGTGTAATAGGATGCACCTGGGGCGTACCAACGGTAAGGAGGCGTATCATATGTCCCAACGGGATGAAGAAACTGCTCTATTTGAGACTGAATGTGAGAAGGACCTAGGTGTGTATGTTGACAATGAGCTGAAGTTCTCGGGCCATTGCGAGAAGAAAGTAAATTAGGCAAATAAATTATTGGGTCTTATAAGAAGGTCGTTTAGATATCTAGACGGTCTGTCCCTCGTAACGATCTTCAAGAGTGAAGTGCTTCCCCATCTGGAGTACTGTCACCCCGTCTGGTCCCCGAGATATGCTAGGGACTGTCAGTTGGTTGAAAATGTTCAAAGGAGGGCCACCAGACTGTTGCCTGCACTTCGGCACCTCAGCTACCCTGAGAGATTGGAGCGCCTGAACTTGCCTAGCTTATACTACAGACGGGCAAGGGGGGACCTAGTTGAGGTGTATAAGCATCTCAACTGGCACTACTCAGTCGAGTGTCCTTACTTGGAGCTGGCGGACGCTCGCCCCACAAGGGGTCACAGCTCAAGATTGAAGAAGCCGCAAGTCTAAAAACCTGCGAGGGCAAACTTTTTCGGAGTGAGAGTTGTGAACTCTTGGAACAATCTACCAGGAAGTGTTGTGACGGCACCAAGTGTGAGCTCTTTCAAGACAAGGCTTGACCAACACTGGAGCAGGTTCAGGTACATTCAGGAGCCGGTGCATGCCCAGTACTTGCCAACAGTGCGTGACAGAGACGTGACCGATCACCCAAACGGCTGACGAGCCGATCAGTGGTGAAGAGGATAAAAGTAAAAAGTAAAAAGGAACCCACCATATCCTTATTCTTCAGACCCGTCACCACCTTTAAACCGCTTCCTGCATCTTCAGCTTCCAGTCCCACTCCTTCTACCAGCGGATTTTCTTCCACTGCTTCCACCTCTGATGTGACTGTGGTGTCCTTGGCAGACAGGAGTGATGAGGTGGTTAACCCTCCTCATCTTGCTGAGTAAAGCCCTTATGAAGTGCTAGAGAACATTATGAAGTGCTAGATACATTATGAAGTGCTAGAGAACATTATGAAGTGCTAGATACATTATGAAGTGCTAGAGAACATTATGAAGTGCAAGATACATTATGAAGTGCTAGAGAACATTATGAAGTGCTAGAGACATTATGAAGTGCTAGAGAACATTATGAAGTGCTAGAGACATTATGAAGTGCTAGAGAACATTATGAAGTGCAAGAGACATTATGAAGTGCTAGAGAACATTATGAAGTGCTAGAGACATTATGAAGTGCTAGAGAACATTATGAAGTGCTAGAGACATTATGAAGTGCTAGAGAACATTATGAAGTGCTAGATACATTATGAAGTGCTAGAGAACATTATGAAGTGCTAGATACATTATGAAGTGCTAGAGACATTATGAAGTGCTATTTATGAAGTGCTAGAGACATTATGAAGTGCTAGAGACATACATTATGAAGTGCTAGAGACATTATGAAGTGCTAGAGACATTATGAAGTGCTAGAGACATTATGAAGTGCTAGATACATTATGAAGTGCTAGAGACATTATGAAGTGCTAGAGAACATTATGAAGTGCTAGAGAACATTATAAAGTGCTAGAGAACATTATGAAGTGCTAGAGACATTATGAAGTGCTAGAGAACATTATGAAGTGCTAGAGAACATTATAAAGTGCTAGAGACATTATGAAGTGCTAGAGAACATTATGAAGTGCTAGAGAACATCATAAAGTGGTAGAGAACATTATGAAGTGCTAGAGACATTATGAAGTGCTAGAGAACATTATGAAGTGCTAGAGAACATTATAAAGTGCTAGAGACATTATGAAGTGCTAGAGAACATTATAAAGTGCTAGAGAACATTATAAAGTGCTAGAGAACATTATGAAGTGCTAGAGAACATTATAAAGTGCTAGAGAACATTATGAAGTGCTAGAGAACATTATAAAGTGCTAGAGAATACTATGAAGTGCTAGAGAACACTATGAAGTAGTAGAGAACATTATAAAGTACTAGAACATAAGAATGGAGGAAACTGCAGCGGGCCTATTGGCCCATACTGGGCAGCCCCATTTACACCCAATCCCTATTGCTCATATATCAGTCCAACCTGTATATGAAGCTACCCAGCGTGTTCAAGTTAATAATGATGTTTGGTAACATTATGAAGTGCTAGAGAACATTATAAAGTTCTAAAGAACATTATACTGTTATCATGATGGAACATTTACTACAAAGAATTTGTATTATGGAAGACCAGCATGAATGTATGCCCAACTTGACCATCACTGGAACATATTCAGCTACACTCAAGAGCCTGTTTATACCCAGTACCTGCCAGCAGAATGTGGTAGAAAACTGGCTGCCCTGTCTGGCTAGGAACCTGATAAATGGAGAAGAGTATGAAAGTCCAGTTAATAACAGAAAATTACAAAATTGTAATGATGAGTGTATGAGAGTTATTGATACAGCTGCATCATAGTATTCCTCTGAGCAGCTTTACTTTTTACTTTTATCCTCTTTACTGATCGGCTCGTTAGCCACTTGGGCAGTCGGTCACGTCTCTGTTACACACTGTTGGCAAGTACAGGACATGCACTGGCTCCTGAATGTATCTGTACCTGCCTCAGTGTTTGTCAAGTCTGGTCTTGAATGAGCTCTCACTCGGTGCCTTCACAGCACTTTCTGGCAGATTGTTCCAAGAGTTCACAATTCTCACCCTGAAAAAGTTTGCCCTCACAATTTCTTGAACTTGTGGTTTCTTCAACCTTAAGCTGTAAACCATAGTGGGGGCGGGCATCCGCCAGCTCCAGGTAGGAACACTTGACTGAGTAATGTCGTCTTAGATGTTTATAAACTTCAGTTAAGTCACCCCTTGCCTGCCTATAGTATAAGCTATGCAATTGCAGGCATTCTATTCTCTCTTGGTAAATGAGGTGCCATAGCTCAGGCACCAGTCTGGTGGCCCTCCTTTGGACATTTTCAATCAACTGACAGTCTAAAACATATGTTGGTGTGGTGTATTTCTTTATAAATATTGTCTCTGTTCAGTTAGGTCCATACTGTACAAGTAAGCACAAAACCCAAATTTTTTACCTCCTTCCCTACCTAGACCTCATCATAACAAACGAGGAAGGTATGGTGGCCAAGCTGGAACACCTAGCCCTAGTTGGCACCAGTCACCACGTAACGTTATCCTTCAGATTTAACTGTTACTTGGTTCACGACAAAACTAGGTCCAGGTTCAAATATTACAAGGAAAATTATGACGGGATGAGGAGAATTCACTGGCCTGACTCACTAAGGTATAAGAATGCAGACACCACACTGAATATCATAGCCAGTAAAGTGAACCGTTTGATCGATAAATATATACCCAAAACCAAACGCAATGCCTCCCTGAATACAAGGAGACTGTTACACATGAACCATGCGGCGGTCGGCAAAGTTAAAAAAACTCAGAAATTTGAGACTTGGGTTCGGACAAACGATGAGCAGACAGGAGGATGTATTCCAGATCCAGGAACGAAGCAAAGTCAGCTAAATAAGAGTTCCAGAGGCAGATTGCAGCGAGTTGAAGTCAAACCCAAAGGCGTTTTACAGCTACGCAAAGTCAAAATTATGCGGTTCAGTTCTGGTGCCCTTATAAAATGGATATCAATTCACTAGAGTCGGTGCAGCGAAGAATGACGAAAATGATTCCGGGACTTAGAAACCTTCCATATCAGGATAGGTTAAAGAAACTAAACTTGCATTCCCTAGAAAGACGAAGAGTGCGGGGAGATATGATAGAAGTATTCAAGTGGGTGAAAGGAATCAATAAAGGGGATATAGATAAAGTTCTTATAATATCCGAGCAAGATAGGACTCGGAACAACGGATTCAAGTTGGATAAGTTTAGGTTTAGGAGGGAGATAGGAAGGAACTGGTTTACAAATAGGGTGGTGGACGAGTGGAACAAGCTTAGCAACTTTGTAGTAAGTGCTGGAACGCTGGAAAGTTTCAAAGGGAGGCTGGATAGATTCATGGATGATAGAGAGTGGTAGTAACTCTCGACAGGAGCTGCCATGCACAGGCCAACCGGCCTATTGCAGACTCCTTATTTTCTTATGTTCTTATGTTAAGTCACCCTTTGGATCGCTCTGACAATAACTCACGTGTGACCTGAGGGAGGCCCAGCAGGTGCTGTTGAAGAGAGTGCTGGACTATGTCTCCTGTGGGAGACTATGCTAGCTGGGGCTCGGTGTTGGGGAAGGAAGTCTCCCTCTGGGGAGGAGCTGTCAGCTCCTTCCCTATTACAATAATAATCCGAATGCGACTGTTCCTGAGAGGGAGCTGCAGGACCTTTATATTGGCTTGAGCCGGAAGATGTCGTCACAAATCTGGATGTGTCTGGTCAGGTGACAGGTGTACTCGTTGGAGTAACACGGTCATGTCGCTGGGTTAAGCTAATCACATGGCAGTGAGAACTCTGGGTCAATGAGACCCAGCTTGTCCAGATGTAGTTTCTTGAGTAACACGGTCATAACTCCGGGTTAACTCAGGTACCTTGTCCGTGACCTCTCCTGGGTCAGGTTTTACTACCACTGTAGGGTGTGTCAACCTATGTAGGTTACCACGTGGGCATTTGCTTACTGTTATGTGTGTTGTATTTCTCTGGACTGTAAGCTGTGGTCCGATTAACAATCATTACATTATGCTGGGATGCTCCTGCTTAACTAAAGGTGCTAGATGTTTGGACCTAAATTCTTGAGCAGGGTGGCAATATCGACAGTAAAAACCAAGATTTTTACCAAGGCTTTCGACAGCGTACCCCATGAAAAGCTGAAAATTAAACTGAAAGGGTACCGGATTTTCTTTTTGATTTGGTCCTTCTGTTTTGCATAAGTTGAGATAGTCGATCAAGATATTCCCAGAGATCAAGTAATGGAGGAATATGATTCACCACATTCAATTGGCTTTATTATAACTAATTTTATCTCATAAATTTGCCTTGTATGAGCTCCCTTTTTTGCACTGTCAACAGTACCTCACTTTCTCTTATTACTGGCCATGATGAAAACTGTATAGTGGATGACTTAGATTTATGGTAGAAATTTGGCAATATAAAAGCCAATGTACACTGCCACTGTAAACAATTACTCCTGGAAACAGACTGAAAACAACGCCACGGATGAATACAGACACACCTAGTACCTCAATTGCTTAACACACCGTCGAATTGGTGAGTTCGTCCAGTGGAAACTAGGGCAATAGGTAGTAAGTGATATTGGTCAAAAAGGAATTTGCTTGTACATAGCTTTTTGGATGGTGAATACTGTACAGATATTACAATATTTTTGTTGTTACTACAATACATAAGGAGGATTCCATGTACAGGTTCATCGGTGTATGGCAAAGCATGGTAAGTCCTTAACAATATCAAGTGCCAGGCTTGTCTTCAAGGATAATGAAATGGGAATTGCTAGGCTCTTTGGGTCAGAGTTTTGTTTAGGTGATATCAGTTCATGGTCCCTGAATCGGTATATTATTAAGTGTTAATATACTTTGCCTGATAGTTTGGGTTCATCAACCTTGGGTCTGATCCAACAGTATTGAATAAACAGTACCTGATAGTTCACAAAATGTCATTTTCACTTCACTGTCATTCCCAGGGGTGTGTGATGTAGTGATGCCTTATTGTAAACACTTCCCATAAGGTCTTTCTTAACATTTGCACAGTTTGTGATGGTAGAGGCAGTAACAACAGCTGTGTTTGACCAGTTCCAAGTGCTTCGGAGGAACCACCTGCCAGTGGTAATGGGGACCTGTTCTCTACTTTTCGTGCTGGGTCTACCTATGTGCACCAACTATGGACTCAGTGTGTTCAACTTGATGGACATGAACACCAGCAAACACTCTCTTCTGATGCTGGGCTTCCTTGAGGTCTTCATCGTTAGTTACATTTACGGTTAGTTTGGCAAGTTAAATTTGTTTTCCTCCTCATACTAACTCACTCATCAACCAAGCAGCCAACTTACCAACTGCAGTATTTGATGGCATACTTTTGAATCTCCTTACACACCAGTTAAGCTGCTCATAATTCCATTGTGTTACGAGCTTTTGTTCCTGAGCTAGACACCTTACCAGGAACCGGGCGGTAACAAACCCACAGACTCAAAACTGGATGTTTACTTAAATTAATGATCATGTTTAGCATATTGATTCTTCAATATTCAGCATTACTCAGATAATCTATATTACTATAGGAGAGGAGTAGTAAAGGAGATGTTGGAATGTACAATATATTGAGAAAAAACACCAACAACCAGCAATAATCAAACATTAACAAGTGCCACACTTATACAACATACATAGTTACATAAATATCCAACAATACGCTAACAATCACCACAATCCTACCTCATACAAAGGCACATAAATATTACAAGCTTACATTACATTCTAAGCCAGAGTAACAGAGTAATACAATTTGCTATCAACCACAACCAGCTCCGCAGACTATCAACCAGCTCCCACCAGCTCCACACCCTTATCCGTCCAGGAATGCTCTGCCCTCTTCCCTCATGTACTGCTACATTACATCTCCGTTCCAGTTCTGAACAACACAGATACAGGGCTCTGGAGTACCTAACTATGAGCCCGAGCTATGGACCATCCCATGAATCCATGATCCATGACTCAAGGGCCGGAACATCGAGTTGGGAGATTGAGTAACGGGGTGGAGCAGTGGTCAGGCAGCAGCCAAACGAGTCTTCAATCTTGTTCTTCTATATCCAGCTTCATAATACATATGAGGCGGAAAGTATTCTAGCTAGAATGTTGTAGTTTGTTTTAAAATGAAGCTGAATTTTGTAAATTATGTAAATAACTTTTTTGAACCGATACTGTTAACCTCACCTAACCTTCGATGAGATGCCGACCAGAGTTAGGTTTTGTCTATGGACTTTCAACCATATGGTCAGTGGCATTTTTGTACTTCATCCATCACCTCATGAAAATGGGGTGTTTTAAGAACGGTTTGCAGGCATAAACATGATAGTGGCCTGGGTGGCACTTGTGCTAGTTTCTCCAGGCAACGCCTCATATGATAATTAAAAGTGGAACTAGAGAAGTTTTGTATAATCTTGAAAGAAGATACGGTAACCTGATTATAGAAGTGCACTGTTGGCAAGTACTGGGCATGTACTGGCTCCAAAAATGTATCTTTACCTGTGCAAGTGTTGGTCAAGTCTAGTCTTGAATGAGGTAAGATAAGGTGAGGTAGGTTTGGTTGGTTAGGATAACTTAATTAGTAATACACAAAGTGGTTGATATCACCAACCAAATCCACCTAACCTCACCTAACTTCCTAATTAGGGGGGGGGGGCCTCCGTTAACAGTCTCATAGAAGAGAATCGTCTTGTTTTATCTGAAATTATTATTTAACACAAAAAATGTCCTATATATCAAACTATGACACCCTAAGTTAACGAGCTGCATGACCTAGTGTCAAGGAATAGTCCGAGAAGACCGGACAACTCGCCAATCACACTGGCTAACCATTACCCCGGAATACGATCCGCAAATTGATTAACATCCAGGTTCCCAATTAACGCTGGGAAGACAGAGGCAAATGACGTAAAGAAACTTGCCCATAGTTCCACCCTGCCCGGGCTCGAACCCGGGCCCACTCGCTTACGAGGCAAGAAAGCTGACCATTACGCCACAGGTCCTCAACTATTTATTGACCCAACATGTTATATGGTGTTAGTAAGTTCATATTAGAATGTTAAAACATTTGTCACTTTTTTTACCCAGTTGTTCATTTATATACTGTATTGTAGTTACTCATTTAACTACAGAACTATATTTATTTATTCAGTATGGTAATTCATATTTTCATTTACTACTCATGTATTCAGTTCTCCACATTTGAGTACAGTACAATATATTCTTATGGTGTTTCTTATGTCATGTTGTCAGGCTTCGAGAAGATGGTGACTAATGTGAAGAAAGACCTGCGCTTGTGCGTGCCCAGACCTCTTTACTGGTACTGGGCTGCGACCTGGACAGTGATCACCCCTCTGTGTCTCCTGGTGAGTCCCTTTCTCTCTTGCTATCTCAACCTCTATCTTTCTCAGATAAAAAATTTCATAACTAAACTATATGTTCACTTGTTTATTGAGTAAATATAGCTTTCAGTCATGACTTTTTGGCCCTCTGACAGTAAGAATTATACATCTAAACAAAGTTGTATTAAGAATGAAGTACTTTTAATATTCAACTAAGCTTACTGTGATGTACAGTCTCCAAAAATGTAGTGCTAGATTTTCTGTCATTACAATTTGAAACACTAGATGAAACGCTTTAATAGGATCCCCAGTGCAACATCATAAGTTGGTATGCCTGCTGGCCACATCAGCAACAGATAAAAGATGGGAGTAGGATTGGGAAGGGGTCGTGCTTGTTCAGGATACTAAATACCTGGATATACGGTAACACGAAATCCATTACTCTTTATTAATTTATGTATTGTACTGGGTAAAAAATGCATATGTAAACAAGCCACGGACTGATGATTACAATAACACTGAAACACAGGATACATAAAATAGAATGTTGTGGAACATCATAACAAGAGACTGAAACAGACCTCAAAACGGACATTTCACCATTCCGTTGTTGCACTATCGGAGTTTCATTCATACTGAGTTTCACAATATGCCTTTTTATGTTGTTTACAGTATGTCTAATTTATGAAGAGTGATTAAGCAAATAGTATTTTATATTAGAATGAACAGCTACAGCAATATACAATACATTGGTCTGCATGGTATCTGCCATGTTAATGATATGTAAGTTGCAGTGGTTTAACACCAGGCAACAGACCCACCTATCCACCTTTAGTAAGACTAATTCAGGAAAAAAGTCACAAGAAAAAAGTCACAGAAAAAAACCTTACCTAACCTAACCTTACATACGTGTAATGCCATCATCAATAAATTGTGTTGTCAATGTGTACAAGTCATGTATTGTCAGTTAATAAGTGACTTAAAGTATTTCTTGTTTTATTAATTTGACTGTTAGTGATATTTAAATAAAATGTGACTTTTTTCCTGACTTTTTTCCCTGTGATTTTATTTCCGTTCACCAGTAAAAGACATGTGTAGTTGTAAGTTTCAGTGTGGCACCAATTGTTTCATGGCGCCTAACCCATAGTGATACTGTGGGTTCGCTCACCCCAGTTGGCTGTACTATCTCAGCGTTAGGTGTACTGTACACCCTCGTTGTGAAGGGCAATGATAGCACCTCTCACATCTAGCAATGTCTCCCTGATGATTCCTCGCTCTATTCGATGTAAGATCCCGTTGATGACTGGCATGGCATTGGTCTCCATTTAGGACATCCACTCTGAGTCCTGTAATATATGATCTGAAGCCTCGAAGGATTCACAATGTTCGATAACGTATAAGTTCATTCATGCTCAAAGGTCGCGGATTTAGAATTTCCAATCGAGTAAAATTACTCGGAAAGCCTCTAATCACATCGACCCCATGGCTAATGATACTTTTTGGGGGGACTGTACAGTACACATCACTCACTGTTCTAGATATACTCTACAGTACGTACTGTATATTAACACCAAATTTTCATATCCTTTATAAATGTACTTTGCTCTTAAAATGGGGATACTCAGCTGTGTTCTATATTGAAATTTTTAAATCATGTTTCCTTACCCAAATTATTATTTAATGAAAAGGAGAAAATGAATGAATGAGTTTATTGTTAAGAGACATTGAACTGTAATTCCCATTCCCTTATAGGACTGTTGGTACAAAGAGAAGGTGAGTACGTACTAAATAAGCGAAATGGCTCCATGGTCATAATAGTGTGGCTACCTCATCACAGGCTGTGTGGTCATTTTCTCTGTCACCTTGAACGTCTTTCTCTTTTGTCGGATCACCAGTATGGCTTTCACCAGGCGAGATCTACAGGTGATCTGCTCTCCTACTACACCCATCTTTGGTCATCCTCTCTTAGGGATTATGGGGAAACTTTCGTCGTGGCCCTCGACATCTCCAAAGCATTTGACAGGATATGGCACAAGTCTTTGCATTCTAAACTTCCCTCTTATGGTTTCTCTCCCCCACTTTGTTCTCTAATTTCTAGCTTCCTTGAGAACCGATCCATGGCAGTTGTTGTCGAGGGATCGACCTCGCGCTCTTTCTCTACCAATAGTGGTGTCCCACCGGGTTCTGTTCTTTTGCCTACTCTCTTCCTTCGTTTTATCAATGATTTATTTCACTCTATGACTAATTCTATCCATTCTTACTCTGATGATTTTACTCTTCGCTCTTCTTCACATTTTTCCCTCACCTCTAATTCTCAAACTAGATCTGTTTCTAAAGCTGATATCATTTCATCTATCAATGTTTATATGAGCAGCATCTCCAAAGGGGGAGAGAGAAACTTGGTTAAATTATTATGGCCAGGCAGCTAAGTAGCCACAATATTACTGCCACACAGCCACTTCATTAAATAAACTAGCAGTGGTGGCCAAACTTTTTGTGTGAGTGGGCCACATTAGGTGAGCAACTGTGTGATGATGGCCACACATTGACCTCATTATGAATAAGTGTAGTAAATAATACACACATAAATAACATAGATTAAGTATGAAACATGTACAGTATTGTTAACTTAAAGAAGGAGACCTAATCAGAACACCTCTTACAGAAATTACTGGCTTTATTAGCAAAATACTCATAATTTTGTTATAGTGAAAAAATCAAATATATTTTTAAGAAATAAAACAAAGGCTTTATGTACTGAACACAAACCTTCAAACAGATACATAGGAAACATAACAAAGGCTTCTTGTCTCCATAGGCTCTGACGGTTTTGGGGCTATGGTCTGAGGACTGGAGTGTGGGAGACTCGCTCAGTATGTTCGTCTGGGGCCAGGTCATAGCCTTTGGTCCTGTGTTCCTTGTACCCATCTTTGGCATTTACAAAATCTGGACTCGAGGAGACCAGGTGAGCCGAAAATAACTTTTGACATTCAGTACTTTTGAAGATATACAGGTTATAAAAGTATGTTAGGGCACAGTTACAGGGACATGCTGGTGAACCCCACTGATATCTACAACAAACCCATAATTTACATGCATTTTATTTATGTGATTACTGTTTAAATATAATATGAAATAAGACATCTTTTGACACTAAAGGATAGGTTATATTTAGTTGGGTTAGGTGAGGTGTGATGGGGTTAGGTTAGGTGGGACGAGGTGGTGTGGGGTCAAAGGTAAGTAAGTGATAAGTGAGTTGATGTTAGCTGGAGTCAGGTAATGTGATTTGAAATGTCAGCTCAGTTCAGGTCACAAAAACATTTGAAAATCTAGTACAGTACTGTATTAATACCTTATTGTTGTGGACCGAGTTGGGTCAGAAAATGTTGGGTGTTAACAAGATTGTAAGTTTTGCAAGTTTGCTGTTCTATTTCTTGATAGGGGAGATCATTTTTATCCCATTTTTATGCACCGTCATGATCCCCATGTATCACCTATTGAACAATTTTTCTTCCCACAGAGTTTGGGTCAATTATTGAGTGCCACAGCCAACTTCTGCCCACAGTATTTGAGGAATGGCCGAGACCCTGTCACAAACAATCAATACTTACCTGAAAATCACTTCTGTGGAGATAACAGAGCATTTGACCTTCAGGAGTTATAAGATTACAGTATATGAAGGGTAAAGAATAAATTGTAGTGTAGTGCTCAGCATGGCTGTTGTCTCTAGTTCTTGCTAAACAAACTTTGTCAAAAGCCTTACCCAGCTGTTGCTGATATCGGTATCATGGACAGCAGACTTGTGTTGTTCTGTTTTCTCGAGTAATACTGATGAGAGACAGACATTGTGTTGTAGTGAAAGAGCCAAGTGTTGCTCGCAGGCTCTGTGGCATACATAAGTGAAGAACCTCGGTGTTACTTCCCGTACCTGAGTGTTGTGTAAAAGTTGAGGTGGTACTTTCAGTACAGTACTTAATAATTTAAGTAAAAGATACTTTTATTCGCAGTTCTTATGTTATACTGTATACTGTATATAAGCTGAGGAGTTTACAGCAAAAAAAGTGAAAGCCGTTGAATTGTATATTGAAACAAAATCTGTGGTACAGACTCAACGTCGCTACTGTTATCACTTTAACGTCAGATGAGTGCCAATTTCAAAATCAATTCACTGTAGTGTTACCATATTTAAGGAAAACGAAACTGTTCACAATCTAAATAAAGGGGCATCAGGTAGACCAAGGACCTCAGGGACGTTGGTAAGACCATCCTCCTCTCAGCACCGTGATGACGCAGTAGCGGTGTGGCTGATAGGGGGCCATCTTCTTACCCCCTTTCTTGTGCCGTTCAGCTGGTGATAATTTAAGCTGCACCAAGTTGCCCACACGGAATGCTCCTTCTCGATTGCAATATTTCTTATACCTCCTCCCCTGCGCCACTGCTACTCTCCCTTTTGCCAAACATAGTGCTTTCGCGATCCTTCCCAACTTCTCCCGTACCAAATGACCACCTACCTCCGCATTACTCAGGTCTGCTGGACGGAAGTTAGGGTCATCACGTGATGTCTTTTCCGACACCAACTGTTCCGGACATCTTGCAGGAACACCATACTCCAGTTCGTGCTGATCATACCCTGTTGTTGCATTCCTTGATGAATTGTGACTAAATTGCAGATGGGGCACCATCTCCGGCCACAAATTGAAGTTGTTATCACATAGACACTGCAGGTTGTCCATAAACTGATTTTGTCTCTCCATCTGGGCTTGGCTGCGTGGATGATAGAGCATTCCAAGTTTCTGATGAATGCCCGTCATCCTACATACTGCTCGGAACATCTCAGACGTAAAATGAGGCCCCCAGGCCGATGAGAGTGACTGAGGCACTCCGAATGTGCACACCCAACGATCAAAGAGAGTCCTGGCTGCAATGTCTGATGTAGCATCACACGTGGGTACCATCACAATATACCGCGTCGGTACATCCTGTATGTGCATTACATACCGGAATTGATGCTTGCCAGAAACAGGATACGGTCCCACAAAATCCACTTGCAGTAGATAATTTGTGCAGTCAGGAATTTCATGTACTGCAACAGTTCTCTCCCTGGCACTTTAGCTCTTTTGTTCGTTCCACATGCCACACACTAACTGATGTGTGCCGCGACATCATTCTTCATCCCCGGCCACCAGAAATTGTTCCTTGCCCTCTCCCATGTTTCCTTAACTCCATCGGGTGCACTCTGCTCCAACGTCCGCTGTGTTGTATATAACAGAGCACCTCTTGCTGAGATAACCTGAGATGGGCCCGGAAAGGATTTAGTTCCCCCTGAACCGGGGCTGAACTATTTCCCCTATTACCCTCAAGGATTCTGACCATGACAGCTATATCTTGTTCTCCTGTTGTTCTTTGATGAAGGTCGGTATGTCCCAGAAGGTGTTGGCAAGATGTGTAGGAGCATTAATTGCACCTACTGAGGAAGTCCTCATTTGTCCGACATCAGATACAATTCGTGAGAGATAAACCGCCATGGACATCGTCGGACTGCGACCTGCCTTGTATATAGGATAGATGTCTAACTGCTGCAGGAAATCCATCCACCTCCCCCTCCTGCCCCCGTTCCTCACTTATGTCGAGCGAGTTGAGCCAGCGAAGGGCGCAATGATCCGCAATCAGGTCGAGCTGGGAGGCTATCACCAGCCAGACTTTATAAACTAACTCTAAACATGCTCAAAACACTTAAAATATATCATAAAATAATCTCTTTGGACTTAATTGCTTCCTTTGTGTGTATTTTTATCACCCGAATAAAACAATATAATTACTAAAAAAACATACTGGTACACATTATTAACCTCTTCAATCAGAGGACGTCTTATTTCATTATGGCTACCAAAAAGTCAAGATTCTTCTGCCTAGGAAGGATCTCACATAGTCAGTAGTTAATGGACATCCATTTTTAATTCTTTCAATTTTAGAGGGAATTATTAAGGTGAATAGAATTGTCTGGAAATGTCTAAACAAAAATTATAAGAGGAGTCACCTGATTGGAGGAGTTGAACATGTGATAATCAATGGCTAGGGTGTTCCTGCATTTCTTTTACAAGCTTCTGAAATTGGGGCTCAATTTCCTTCTCCAAGGCACCCCTCATCAACGAATCAAGATTTTGAAGCGAATTTCGTTTCATGGTTTTCAGTTCTACCAAGGTCGAGAATCCTTGTTCAGATAGGTAAGTAGTAGTCATCATCACTTGGGGTTGAAGGGCTTTCATGGCAATTGATTTATATTCAGGAAACTTTACTAATCCAACCCAATAGTCACCATAGTAGGAGTACTTTTCAAAAGATGCTTTGTGGGTGAAGTCATAGTGAAGCTCCATCAACACTTCTGTGATCTCTCCAACATCTGCTGGCTTGATGTGGCTGGTGATGAACGGATTGACTCGCCACAGAATTGTTAGAGAGCAACTGCAGATGTTCGGAAATGATGCCCTTCAGTGTGTCTTCCAAATCAGGTTGCTTTTCTTCCCACTCAGTGTCTTTGAGGAAGCTTTCCAAATGCGGGAAATTGGAGAAATTACCTCTTCTAATGTTACTATGCCACATGGAGATCTTCTATTGTCTTTAGTTACCATAGACTGGAAGGAATTTTGCTGTCAGTAAATGTTCAAGGGTGTTCTTAAAAGAGTCTGTAATTTCGATGGAGCCAGGCATTGATTTCTGTATCGGACATTGCAAAACATGCACAGAGTTGAGGGAGTAGGAGTTTTTTCGTCTTTTGGAAGGAAGAAGCAATACTTGACATACTCTTCATTCCACCGTCTTATCTTGCCTTTTGTGGAATAGTTGGATTGGCCCTCTCATTTTCGTTTCTGAGTAGGTTCCTTGCTCGAATCATCATCGCAGTCAACATCAGTATCATGCGTAGTTGCAGCTTGAAGGTCTTTATCATCAGCTTTTTCGCTGTCCTTCACAAAAGACGTATCTCCTGCACACACAGCTTCTTGAGCTGTTTTCTTTAAGTACTTCAACAAAGACATAGTCTGCAAGTTAACAAAACAGCATGTAAGAAACAATTGTATGGGCTCTTCTTTCTATATTATATATATATATATATATATATATATATATATATATATATATATATATATACCGGTCGGAATTCTCACTATCTATTGGAGTCTTTGAGTTATAGTGGATGGTAATGCAGTGGAAGCGCCCCTCAGAGAATACTGAACCCGCACAAACACAATTAATAAATGTATTCTCCGTGACAGCTAGTACCTGTGATTGGGGTTAATGAGACTCACTGGTAAAAGATAACACTTCTATTCCTTCCAACACTACAGACTGAATCAATAATTGTACACAAGCACGAGAGTGCTTCTTAGCGTAGCTTACTACACTACAATGGGAAACAAAAGTTGTACATGGTATCAACAAAATTATTAAAAGATATTAATTGCATCCGAAAAGAACTAATGCAGCAGTAGTACAGACACCAGAACGAGGAACTCATCTGGAACAACAACTTCATATATCCTACGTGACTTAGTGGCACATAAAACATTTGACAAATATTACTTGCACCGATGAAAATGCCTTAAGTGCATCCGACAAAATTATAGCAATCCTTGAGGAATAGAAATCCTGATTTGGTCATACTACACAAGAACATGGATCACTCATAGCCTGTCTGGCATGACCCACAAAATAATATAATCCTAACTGTCCTAACTACACAGAACACGAAGGTTGTAAATACTAGCCTGCCAAGTGGCAGGCATTTACAACAAATAGAGAAAATCACTCATGACCCGTCAGGCAGGCGGGTGCTCTGCTGTTTTTTCATTACTCTTTCTAGGCTCAGGAGTCATGAGTGTATTTCTCCACCAACACCCGTAACATGCTTCACACATAAGTTTAGAATGCACCCGTACTTTAAGGTGCTACGGCCTCTCACCATTTTTTTACGAGGAACTCCTACGTCCCACGTGTGCAATCAACCATGAGAAGCGTTGATTACACACCTGGACTTGGCTATTTTAATCACATACACCCAATACTGGGGATATGAATGTCTCTATGTAACCACTAGAACTCCCGGTCCCAGCGTGTGACCCTTCATTCACTCGGTCTGCACTCAGTTGGCTTACTCCCAGTACTTCATGGACAGGAAGAGAGCGACCGTCAGCCCGCCTACTTAGGCCAGTTCAAGAGTACAACCCTGCCCAGCTGAGGGAGGGGTTCTACTTTGCCGTTAGTAAGATTTTTCACTGACTGACTGAAGAGATGTGTGGGTGGTTCTTGTGGTGTTGTATGAACCTAAGTGGGGAGATTCGATGAACCAGATCGACCACATCCAAGCTCTGCGGTCAGTCACGGTAGTTTGGTAACTAGGGACACCCGTCTGCTCGCCGCCCGGGTGGGTATCCACCCCGTGAGTAGCCAGCTATGTCTTCCAAACCACCATCACCACCAACCACCAACCAAGTGGGGTCTCGCTACCCTGCAAAAGGAGTACTTTGTTAACTACTGTTAAACTCTTCTCCGCTCTATCTAAACACTGCACGAGATCGAATAGAGGAATTACAATACTTGCAACAAGGATGAACACGCGGGAAGAGACAAGGCCACGTGGTCGCTTTCCTTGGCGGAACGCGTAGTTAGACGTCAGCCTAGGTCAATGACCTTGAACTACTGAGGCCTGGTCAATGCCTGCATCCCTCAGGGCGCTCGCCTGCCCCCCCCCCCATCCCCCCCTCCCATGATGTCATCTTTCGCGTATTTCTAATAGTTTCTTTGGGACACACGTAACATATTTAGAAGTGGGAAACTATCCACAATAACTTTAAATTTTATAATTGTCCCTTAACTTCATGAATCGTGTCTACATTAATTCGATAAAGTACATTTCAATTTCTATAGGTCTAGTTCAAAATGCCTCCACCTCCTGACTGAGGGCATTGCTTGGAGGATTTGTTTTAACTCGCCACGAGGCATGAGTGTTTCAGCCTGGCCTACTTGTGTTTCCCTGTTTGGCAGATCGGTCATTTTTTTCTAACGTCACTAACTATCACATTAAAATTTCTGAATATTACAATCGACCCCCGAAAAAAAGACAGCACTGTCCTCATGTGCTGAGAGAGAAAAGGTATGCATATGACCCCCTAGAGGAGACCTGCTCTATTAACTGCATCTCACACCTGCAACACGCTTAAGCAACTTTTCCGTCCTCCAACTTCCGGCACCCCTGATGATGCTAGTTTTCCTTTTTCCTCCTCTGACAGTCGACCCCCCTAAAAGAAGACAGCACTGTCCTCATGTGCTGAAAGAACAACAGAGAGCCACCTTCAAATCTGCATGATTCCAACTCACAAGCCAGCAAACTCCGTTTTCTGCCTAGTCCTTGAACTTGAGAACCAGTGTCAAAAAATAATACCGACTCAAATCAAGCACTCTCCTCTTTTGCCTGGCCCTTGAGCTTAGAGAACCAGTGTCAAAAAATAATACCGACTCGTATCAAGCGCTCTCACGTCTGGAGCTCTGAACACTACAACGATTGACCCTCCCTCTGCTTCGAAGCCCTGCCCACCTTCAGGGGGGAATAAAGATTGTTGGGGGTAGGAAGGGTCAGTTTGGATAAAACTAAAAAACTGTACATTACCCTAAATTTTAACTATTACCACTGTGTTCAGGACGAAAACGTACACGGGAAAACATATAATCTCATAAATAAAATCATTTCCGAGCTTTTTCTACATAATTACTGATACATTTACCAACATAAAATGCAAATTTTCCTTGAAATTTCACACTAACATTATATAACCCCATGGATATTCTATGGCCTTCCTGTCAAAGAGCATTATTCTATACAACTATTAATCCAACTGAAATTTTATCCTTCCTAGTTATTAAATATTAGGATGAAGAACAAAGAGTCATTTATCCCATATCTTCAAGGTTTAAAAGCAGAATGCAAGCACTTACCCAGCAGGAGGCAAATGGTGAGTTGGAACACCTGATCAATCATGTAAACATATAAATTTTTTCTTACAGTATAAAGCAAGACCATTTTCTCTCATATTATGAGCATAAACATACTTATTTATAATTTTGTGACATTGGCTGGCACTTAATTGGAAGCTCTTTCGTCATTTAATCTTGATAATTCAATCAGGATTAATTCATTCACCCTTACTATTTCATCCACCCTTCATTCACCCCTCTAGTTTCATTCACCCAAACAAAAACTTCATTTACCCTACGGTGAACCATTCACCAGTTTAAGAAACACTATGTTATTCATCCCAGTATCCATGTATGTAATCCCTTCCGTTGTATGGGTGTTTGGAGTGAACAAGTGTATGAGGATCGCGATTTTACTTCTTTGCGAATGTAACAAAGTAGCGCAGGAAGCTTTTAGTCCGGATGCTATTACTAAGAGTCCTGTTAGTAAGATAAATTCTCAGATAACCTGTTTTGGTGGTGCTCAAGTGCGTTACTTGTAAGATTATAATGTTGTATTTTATAAAGTAAACCAAGTAATGGTGAATGTTGAAATGCATACCTAATTGAGAAGTATGAGTGGGGTCATGGAGATGATCCTTGAAAGTTTTTTAGTATTGAAAGTAGTTATTAACCTAACTTCAATTTAATAAACCATTTTTATTGTATGTTGGGGTATCATTATCCCAGGAGGCCTATGGCACGCTTGTTTGTTGTGTCATATATATATTACATACTGCCAGCAGTCCAT